ACCGGTATCGACCCTAAATGCAGGTTTGGAATTCAGCTGTTTGTTCTGACAAATCTCTTATTTTGGGATACGGAAAAGCTTGCGAACGGCAGCAATGTGAAGGCGCAACGCACCCGCACGCGCCATAGGCTCCGCCTAGCACTGGATAATAAAGCAACAATTTAGTCATGTTATAGAAAATCTCGCGCCCCCAATATTGAAAGAATGTATGATGGAATGTGTGAGGAAAGCTTTCGCAGCCTTATTCGAGAAGAACTGCAGTGCTTGTCAAAGTTGGAGAGGTATGTATAGATTCGTTGCACAAACCCTTTTGTCTACCACTTTTGGACAGAATTTTGAGATTTTAGGGATCAGAAACTCAGAGAATGTTTTGTGAATCGAACAAATGCTCTTCGGGATGAAGATCCAGGTAAGGATTAAATCGATTTAAAATCAAAGTCAATAGAGCAGTTGATTTGGATTAAAATAATAACGCACTTGCGTCGTATAAACAGAGCAAATGTTTATTTTTCCTGCAGTCACGACCTATGCTTCCAAGCTGATGAGGGGTTGACATTTGAATTTCAGCAATTCCCCCCAAATCGGATGTTTCGTACTCGTCTTACGAATGCTTGATTACCCAAACCTATGTGGATTGTCTACTTGAACGCCAGGACAGATCATGCAAGGAAGCTATCAAGGTAAACGGAGGATTTGTGGAAGTTATTAACTGCTTATTTGCTGTAGATTAGATGCTCAAAAATCAAACACATTGGGTGCCATCCATCAATTTGACTAATTGTCACTTTACCCCTTCCATTCGCGCCGGGCGTAATCGCACATATAGCAATCGATAGATTCACGAAAGAAAGCATAGGCGGGCGTAGTTCAGTAGCCCTTGCTTACACACACAGTATAAGAAAATCTCTTTTAAAACCAAGTACGTCCACATAGGTCGCACTTATTAGAGGAGATTTTCGTATACTTGGTGTAATTGCACAAAACGTACTTGGTCTGCAAAATACTTATTTCTAAGCTTTTACTCTTCACTGATGAAATGTGCAGACATCTTCAAATTTAGTAGGCAAACATCCACATCTTAGTTACATGCGCTCTGAAACAAATTCGTAATTTTCACATTTTTCAAGTCCGCAGTTGCACAACAACCATTCATGACAGTTTCTAGCTTAAAGTATTATCCATTTCAGTTAGAAATGGCCATGCTT